GTAACATGTGAGGTTCTATGCACCAGTAACATGTTCTAATGAGGTTCTGCGTGTCATTAACATAGTCTAACGAGGCTCTATGTATCAGTAACATGTTCTAATGAGGTTCTGTGCATCAGTAACATGTGAGGTTCTATGCACCAGTAACATGTTCTAATGAGGTTCTGCGTATCATTAACATAGTCTAACGAGGCTCTATGTATCAGTAACATGTTCTAATGAGGTTCTATGTATCAGTAGGTTCTGCTGATGAAACCATAAAAAGGATACAGGTAAGGTCCAAATCGAACCCATCCTCCTGGTACCTCCTTTTGTTCCGGCTGACAATCTCTTTGATTAAGTTCGCGGCCATGATCTCCGGCCGTTAACGGGTCAAAAGCACCGGGAGCTGCAGGTGTTCCTCCGGACGCTTAGTCTGTCTGAAGCAGACAGAAGCTACCTGACAGCTAGCTCTGTTAGCTCACCTTCGGCCTTAGCTTCCCACGGGTTGATCAATAAAAACATAAAAATGCACGAAAGTACAGAAAAAGTATCCTGACAGATAAGAACCGATCCGTCCTCCGCCGGCAGCTTCCCTCCGACCTCCGCTGCCTGCAGATGCTAGCCGGCCTGCTAGTTGACAGCTAGCCTGGTCGTCAACGCCGTTTTCTGGGTCAGAATCTTCCCTCCACTCTCGCTGCGGGCCCGGCGTTCTAGGCCCCCCACCTGGATGCAAAATCATCCGCGGGCCGATAATCTGTGCGGAGTCGGTCCTCCTTAAGTTGGACGGATCCGGTCCGAAGGTCCCGGGTCTCGGAACACAGCGGAGACGCGGAGAGAAGATCTCTCCGAGCCGAGCGCCAGACACCAGGCCACTGCGCACGCGTCAAGCCATCGACTGTTAGAGCGCATTTCCGGCTGCCTTCAAAATAAACACTGATTTTACTAAAGAAAAACATTTTAAACTGCGTACTTTTGATAGGGTGCCATCATTAACGGACTAAGGACCATTCCAACATGCCTTTAATAAATACCAACACAATTTAGACATTGAGACAGTTTTATTGAAAAATATAGATGGTGTAAGCCTTGTAAAAAAATTCTAATAGTTAAAAATGTTTTTTTTTGCCATTGTCATTTTAGTTGAATCTGTGCTGCTGTATGACACGTTCGTTGTTTTCACATTTTTATTTCAACTAACTCATTTTTCTTTAATTGAACACCCCAGTCCAATATTTCCTTTATTAAACAGTTTTTATTTTACCATTAACTTGTCTTTCCTTGATGTATTTTTACCCCATTGAACATTAATCAACTCATTTTAAAACATTTTAAACGAATTTAATTTATATAGTATTTAGTTATTATATCTCAAAATCACGATTTCTATAGCAGTAGTGTAATGATTTATTGAATAAATCTGTGTAAATCAGATTTTTCTTACACGTGCTTTTATTTTTTAAAGGAGCTTGTTTCCTGTTGCAGTGTCACTCCATCTGACTTGATAATGCTAACTATTAGCAGCTAACTGGCCTGAACCAAACGCATCCAGACAGCAGCGGGTTGCCAGGTTGTGACGATGTTATCCTCCCATTTAGCACCGCCCCCAGAGAAACGGATCAGCGGAGGCTGGTTCTGTTCGTGGCAACCCGCAGACATTACATAATGTTCCCCGCGGTCGCAAGTTGATGGTTTCAGGTTTCGTCATCTGAGATTTGAATTTTTAAAAGTTGTTAACCAACAGCGTCACCCAGAGGACGACTGCAGTGTTGCAATGCAAAGCGCCGCATTGTGGTTTATCTAAAACACAAAAACACAGTATTCGGTTTTTCAGATCAACCTTATACAGTGTAGTTGTCGATGATTTTGCTAAATGTTTATTTTACAGTAAGTCATCTTTGAAAACATACTTAGAAAAGCTGCGTTGTTCTGCCAGCCTGGCCAGTAGGTGGGGTAGTGAGGTAGACTCGACGGAAATGAGCCGTAGAAGAAGAATCGCACTTGTGCCGCAGGAAGCGCGACGAAGAAGAAGCTGCCGGTTGTTAACGGGAGCAGAACAGGTGAGTTCTTTACCGGAGACAGGATGAGCTGTATTCGGTTCTGTGTTCTGCCAGTTCCCCCGAGCCGGTCTCACCGCGCTGCGGGGGTTCAGGGTGTTCTCCTGTATACAGTCGCTCCCGAACACCCGAGAACACGAAGGTCAAGCTAACAGCTAGCACTGAGTTAGCCGCACATTAGTTTCATTTCATCATCCGGGAGGACCGGTCCAGACCGGTACGTGGGGCCTGAGGTTCTACAGGTCACTGTAGTGTAGTCTGAGCAGGTAACAGCCGCATCCCATCCTTTCTGTTAGAGTCCTGCCATACTCCGTTTAAAATGGTGTCGGTTCTAGATGCTTCACCAGATGTTGGTCAGACTGAGCAGTCAGATCAAGAACTCTTGTCAGACCAGGTCCAGCAGAACCTAATTTACTGTCCGGCCTGGAAAGGTTCGGGTTCTCATCAAACTCTGTGGAAATAATGATCATTTTATCACAAAACTCTGTGAAAATATCATTTTCTCTCACTGTTCCGTGCATGGTCACGAGAGACACCTTGGACAGGGCACCAGTCCCATCTCATGGGACACGTGGAGACAAACAAGGAAAGCCATTAACATGTAAACTCCAGGCAGGGGGCGAACCTGCGACCGTACTGTGAGGCAACCACTCTGAGCGCTTCACCACCGCGCTGAAAGTCAAAATCAGTTTTTTTTAGTTCAGTGAACATAAAAGCATGATGATGTCAGAAAATCTAAGTTATTTCAAAGTGTTTACAGGTGTGTAATTAATGGTGTGTGTGTAATTAATGGTTTGTGTGTTTACAGGTGTGTAATTAATAGTGTGTGTTTACAGGTGTGTAATTAATATTGTGTGTGTGTTTGCAGGTGTGTAATAAATGGTATGTGTGTGTAATTAATGGTTTGTGTGTTTACAGGTGTGTAATTAATATTGTGTGTGTGTTTGCAGGTGTGTAATAAATGGTGTGTGTGTTTGCAGGTGTGTAATTAATAGTGTGTGTTTACAGGTGTGTAATTAATATTGTGTGTGTGT